AAACAAAAGCTATGGATCTTGACGCCTCCCACTGAATCATGCGATTATCGTTGTCAGTTGCAACTGGTATCTAGGTTGAGTTCTTAGAATTACAGGGGGTGAAAACCTCCAAGCGTCCGAACGGCTTGCCTAGTAACAGAAGATGGTGTAGGCCCTTTCCAAAAGCAAAGTATGTTCGGAGGGTTGTCCCCGGCAGTCTCAAGTCGGGACCCGTCATCGTCTAGGCAGCGTTGCCGAGTTGGATATCGACAAGTTCTGAATTGTCTCGTAGAGAAACAAAGCATTCAGCTCATCAATAATCATGTATTATGTTCCTATAATGGAAAAGAGCCACCATGGGCAAGTCCGAAGAAGCCGGCGGATGAAACAACATCACGAGGAGCAAACTAGTCCCGAGAGGTGCACTCCGAAGGGTCCATGGGTAAATAAAGTGGTTCTACTTGTGCGACTAGTGTATCTTCCAACAGGCTTGGGGCATGTCTCTTTTACTCTATTTTGCGGAGATGGCGGAGCAAATTTCATGTTCCAGGTCATGACTTGGCCTGGACCGCATGGTATCTACTATGAAGCTGGTCGCTATTGAAGGTGACCCTTGCTTCACTTGAATACAAGCTTTGCATGTTCAGATGCAGTCAACTTCTCCAGACCAAAAAAACAACGCTCCATTAAGCCTAGATCAACAACAGCGTGGAGCGACAGCAAGATCCATTCAGCTTCCAATAAATGCGCCTCCAGAGATTCCGTGCTGCTGGCTCAATGTTTAATCTGATTCAGCGTGAACCTTTCTGAAATTGCCCCAGCGAAAATGTTTGGTTTCGTTTCGTCCTGGTATTAAGCTTTGGAATCCACCAGATCCTATTGGAGAACCGACTAGCGCACGTCGAAATTCCAGAGTCCAGACGACATTCGGAGAGAACCTGCATATCCGCTTTGACTCTTTGCCTCACTTTCTTTACCTTCAGATTAATGCTAAAAACGGTTTATTCCAAGTCCTCAATTTACAGTTGGCCGATACTGTGCTTTGACGATTCCATGAACAGTGATTACGCATGGTAAAGGATTCAGGCAAGACCCGCTTGTTTCCCATGAGCATAAGACTTGCAAATGGCAGCGGAAACATTGGAAGCCACGCGATCCAGTCTAGCATACCGCTGTTGGCAGGATGATCCAGCCTCACCTTCTAATGCATTATCAAACAATTCCAGACCCACGAAATGATTGGGGTGATGTTTCTCGACAATATGCAGTGACTAAGATGGTGCCCCCATTGCCCACCCGTGAAGCAATTGCAGGGTACAGGATTGCATGACCGACTTTACTTTGTAAAACGGCTCCCCTCACGCCGGGCATGTTCTTTGACGGGCTCGAGGCTTCACCGTTATGAAGTATATCCGAGTACGCGAGTTGACGAGCTTGAATACTATTCTGGGTCCTGGCTGAAGATTGTCTAGTTTTGATGTCACTTAACAGAATGAGGAATGAATTGGCTTAATTATACATTGTACCTTACACAACTGCTCAAGGTCACGGGGTATCGGGAGCTACCATGGGCATCTTCTACCAGCAACTCCTTGATGCCAAGCTCAAACATCTCATTCCGATCGAGCTGGTGAGTCTGGGGATCTGGTATTTCCCGTCAAGCTTAAAGCAATGGCGCAACAGTGTCCAGCTTGGGCGAATGACCCAGCCCTATCGCAGACACACATCAAGAAAAACATTATGGACGAATATCTTCCATGAGAGTAGCTTCGTCTCTAACTTCAACCCCTGGATTCTTCAGCATGTATAATGCCAGTGACGATTCGCCTGGTCCTTGGTAACAAGTCCGACAGGAGTCCAAGCATCGGATCCGAATTGAGCCTGCTGCCTGAGAATAACAGCCCATGCACCGGGGGAAGATCCGCCAAAGCCACCGGATGCACATCTCATACTTCACTTCAACCTGTAATAGCGATGATTTATTCTCGAGCAACTCTCCTGATCCTGGTATTGAAATCTTGCGATGAATGACTGACCAGATGGGTGCATTTCCTGCAGTCTACAGCCGTGAGAGTTCTACATGAAAGGGACGACAGTACCTACATAGAAGCCCTGGGCCCTCGGTTTGAGGTTGTACATTCTTGTCTCGACTCTTCTGTGGACGATGCTTTGATTGCTATTTTGAACGAGAGGTAGTAGGTTCGAGTTTGCGGTGAATGACGATAGCAGTGCATATTTGCCCCATGCCCTTCGAATCTTCGAATGCCTAATTAACCCAGAATTACCTCCATGCGGCTATCATGCCAATTGACCAGACTGCTGTGCCCTTTCGGATTAAATCTTAATTCTATTAAGCCAAAGTCCAGTTTACGGTGAGCGTGATGCAGGCATGATACGGTAATAGTGGCGACAATAGTCAGAATGGGTGGCCCCCTTCAGACGAGATGCGAGGAAGACAACGGGTGCCTCTTTCTAATGACCATCAGCGCATTTTGCCTTGCTAAATAAAGACCATCTTCATGTGATGACTGTGCATCAATTAAGCTTTGGCAGGCATGTGCCGCTTTCGGAACGAGCCACCATGCGCCTAGAAGAACAACCTCGCTGAAGACTTTCAGCCTGACTGATGCACCACCGCCGAGGCTGCGAGCATGGGGAAAATAAGCAGTCCCTGAAAACTGTAGTCGATGGACTTGAAACCGCTCGATTGGCGTGAAGCGCTCGCTATGATGAACCTCACATATCAGAGCCACGTTGCCTTATCAAGGTAACCACATAAGGCGTCACTGTGGATAAACAGCACATTGACAATTGACGAAACGTCGAAGTTCGTGTTCAACTGCTGGTGTTCTTCTAGATGAGCCCAATTGCAAAGGATCATAATTCCTCTGTCACATGGATCAACAACATCACATTGTAGCCATACCACAGCACAGACTGATGGTCAAATAAAGTGAAGCGTACCGTAGTAATACAGTCTCAATTTGTCCACGAGAAAACTCCGAGCCTACATGTCCGATGCTAGAATACCGCCGCCCAAGTAGCAATATTGAACTCCATGATCCCTTCGCAACGGTGGTATTGAGTTACTCGAATTCATTCATGCCCTGCCTTATTCGTGCTTCGACTACTCGAATCGAGAAGGATTACCATTCGTATCGGGACTGTCCAACCGTTTGGTGATATTGCGGGCCAGGTGAATTAGTTGCCGTAGCTGGAAGTCGGAGTCGTTCGTGCCGTTGTTGAGCTGCGCACCAACGAGACCTATGGTCTTGCACATGCTGATTAAGGTCTCTCGTGCCAGTCTTGAAGCTGTTTCGGGGGACGATTGGCGGTAGACACGACGGTCATCATCGGTAGAGAAAGACTCTGGCTCTCTCAAGACCGTAAGGATGGAAGGGATACCCGTCACTGTAGGGCTTTGGGGATCCCTGGGGCGTCCGGGGGTTGTTGGGCTCTCGGACATTTTGACGGGTGGGAGAAGACACTCGGTGGAAGTGGACGCCACTGTGAAAGTTGGTAACGCAAACTATGAGGGCTTAGCTAAGTGCGAGTTTATCAGAGGGAGGAGATACATACCTTGGCGATAAGTCTGTTGCTGAGTGGTTGTGGATGGAGCTCTCAGAACGTGGAAGTGGATAGATAGATGCTTTGATATGCTAGATAGAATGCAGCCAAGAGAAAAGAGGGGAGGTGACAGGTTCCTTTAATGTACTCGAGTTCGGAGCAAAGGTATGAACACATAAACAGAAGGCGGCGGGGTACCTGGTCACGAGATCATGCGCCTTTCTGAGTTTCGCGTCTGTCTCCTCATCAAACATCATCTGATCTCGAGAGCTCTTTCCGCCCGTAGGCGCCATAGCGAACGGCCGTTACCCTCCGTTTAAGGTTTTTAGCGTTTAGCAGTCAATTATATGCCCGTGATCAGAAACTGAAAAACGCAGCATCGAACTATATGGCGTGACATACGTGTCAGCAACTCGGCCGACTCGGTTTCGCCAGTCAAATCACCAGTCATTCGTCAATGACTACTAAACATCTTACTTTTGATATCGTGTGGACACCATAGCCGACACAGTTCATGTGGCTGGAGCTCTTGGCACCGACACTGCCGGCGCGTGGCAAGCCAAGCCTCCTTGATTACGAGTGTGTTGCTCGGGAGGGGTGTTCAGCCTTCGCGCGGACGGACTGCGGGGAAGGCAGCGAACATGGACCCATCCCGGCAGACGGGGGCCCAGTGCTGCCGGCGTCAGGTGGAGTTAGACAACGGCGCTCGGCCCTTGTTTCTTCATTGACAGAAAACCAGTCTCTCGGGGAACCGCAAGGAATGACGCCCGGAGTACGTAAGCATCTCATGTCTCATGTCTGTTCTGGAAGATCAAGGTACTTGGCATCTGGGGAAGCTGAACGGCTTCCGATTGACCGAAGCGCGTTGACATGCGCTGGGATAGCCTGTTCTCTGTTTCTTTAATGGCCGGCGGAAGACAAGAAGGTGCTACGAAGTCAATTCCTCTGAAGTGCGGCTCTGTCTCATAGACCACTTCAAACAATGAGTTGGTTGCCTCCGCGATTAATGGCACACATCTAATCAACGGCTCTCCAGGGTCTCGTGAACTGCTCAAGGAACGCGCCTCAACCCCAAACAACCCCGCAGCAACATGGCCGATCCAGACCATTCGGTCGCGACACGCAGCATAAAGATGATATTATTGCAAACATATTGGGTCACGCACTCTGTGCCGATGATACGTCGTGCCACTCTCGAAAGGGAATCGCTTATCTTAGTGCCTGACATGGGCTGTGTGAGACAACGCGCAGTGGTGCCAAGTTTCCACGCATGCCAAGACTTTTAACGTCGCGCTCATCTCGCGCCCACAACAAGCCTCCTTCGCTCTCGGTTGATGCTGAGAATTCCAACCGTTTTCATCTCATTTCCATCCAACGTTAACCTTGCCATTAACCCATCTCCATCGTGAGATTTCCTTTGCCACAGATCCGACTGCAAGATCTGTCCCCGCAACATGACGGACATCCACGGGCCCCGCCCATCGGAGCCGGCCGGCAACGGTGGCACGGAACACAGCCACGAGTCGACCCCGCTTCTCCCTACCATCGCGTTCCGAACTGTCCATCAGACCATCTCAAGCCGCATTGCCCACGAAGGCGAAAGTGGTAGAAGCGGTTTTCATCTCCGACACTTCCTGATTGTGCTGTGGCGGAGTTCGTGCACCGCTTCTATGCTGGTCAACTTCCTGTGGCCCATCGTACCAATCGCCATCGTTCTCAACTGCCTCCCTGGACTTCACCTATGGAAATTCGCAACAGCATACGTGGCCGTCGTGCCCTCGGCAAATCTTTTGGGCTTTGCTGGACAGGAATTCGCCCGAAAGATGCCCAAAGTAGCTGGTATTTTGATCGAGACTACGTTCGGCTCCATTGTTGAGATAATTCTCTTCGTGGTTCTTATTGTCAAGCACAACACTCACGAAGGAAACGGAGACGAGGGAAACTTAATACCCATCATCCAGGCTGCCATCCTCGGAAGTATCTTGACAAATCTTCTGCTCTGCCTTGGGCTTTGCTTCTTTTTTGGTGGAGTTCGCAACTCTAGCCAAAAGTTCCATGCCATCGTCTCTGAAGTAGGGACTGGGCTTCTCTTGGTTGCCGCGTTTGGACTTTTGATTCCGAGCGCGTTTTACTCAGCTCTTAAGGCTGAGACATGGCCGGAACTCCCAGGTCTCCGGATAACGTTCCATGAAAAGTTCACAGAAGGCACACTTCAAGCTGATGTCTTGCGCATAAGCCAAGCCACGTCAATTGCTTTGATCGTGGCCTTCTTTCTCTACATCTGGTATCAAGCCAGCAGCCAGCACAGCATATTCGACGAGGTAATTGAGATGGATGAGCACCGAGATGCCGACCGTGAGGAGGACATGGAAAAGCCCAAGTTCACCATGACGGAAACGGCACTAGCTCTCACAATCTCACTTGTGTTAGTGACACTGCTCCTCATTTTCCTCGTTGAAGGCATTGAAGAGGTCGTAGAAAGTGGGATACCCGACCAATTTTTAGGCTTGATTCTCCTCCCGTTGGTTGAGAAGGCTGCCGAGCACTTGACTGCCATCGATGAAGCTTGGGGTAAGTCTGACATGCCCTCGCCATCTTCAGTGAGAATTGTGTATCAGAACCTTTCTAACTTATACATGTATAGATGGAGTTATCAACGTAGCGCTCTATCATTGTCTCGCGCCATCAATCCAAACAGCTCTTTTCAACGGCCCCTTGGTTGTCCTTGTTGGCTGGTCATTGGGCAAGCCGATGGACCTGAATTTCGAAATATTCATGATCGGCTTGCTTGTTCTTTCCATTCTGGTTGTGGGCAACTTTCTGCGAGACGGCGAATCAAACTGGCTGGAGGGAGCTTTGCTCGTGGTGAGTTCTAGTCGCCCATATGCCATCCTAGCTGCATGTTTCCTTGTGTCCTAACTTTTGCAGGTCGTCTACGTCATTATCGCGATAGCATGCTGGTATTATCCGAACCCTGACGTGGCCACTTCCAATGGCCTGGAGGGGTCAAAGATGGTGAACATCACTATGACAGTTGACACTCTCCGGGAAATCCAGCAACTCCTGGCGACGAAGCTTGAGAATTAGAGATTTGGAAGCCGGACTGGTTTTGACACACACTCGAGACCGGATTTGGTCTGAATAAGCGCAACGAAAAAGCAAGGCAATACAAAGTTGTACATGAAGTGAAGGCGGAGGGTGATATGCACTGTAACATCACTCATGGAAGGGTTTATAGTGGGTGAGAATTTGGGTGTCGAAATTGAGAGCTTTTGGGATATCTAGCGTAAGTTGCATCGGCAACGCTCGCTCCGTGAACCGTCCACACAACACCTCGTCTTCATTCGCTCAGTAGACCTGTTGCTCCAGTCAGTCAATTACAATATCGGTGTGCTCTGAGATCTAACTTACTTGTGAAGTTGTGTTTGCTTAGCACTTGCAGTAAGGGGTGCCAACATCAGGCTTGACGCAGGCGTCGGAGCAGCCTCCGCAGTTGGCAGCGAGCTGCCACTTAGCGCCGTCGCAAGAGGCGATGGCCGCGTTTCCGGAAACACACTCGTAGCCGGCACCCTCGCAAGCGGAACCGACGGTGACCGCGGCGGAGACGGAGGAGGCCATGACGGCGAGGATGGAGGCAATCTGGAAGAACTGCATGATGGCGATTGAGATGGCGGAGTAGTGGAGATGAGAAGATGTTGTGTTGTGATGGCGTGATAAAGGAATTCACAATCGAAGAAGGAAACCATTGCTGTTTATATGATGGGAACTTCCCAGGTTTCCCTGAATACGAGGTGGAGGAAATCTCGATGATCCTTCAGGCGGTCAGCCCTCAACAAGGGGATGTGGAGGTGGAGGCTGTAAGGTATTGGGATGGACACTCCGGCCTCAACTCTGTGGGCGTTGGGGAATGCTGGACATCCTTTACACACGCAGCATTGCTCCAGTTTTTCAGGGCCAATATTGAATACTCTGCATCCGAAAACTTTGATCATAGGTGATGGATGCATGATTAGACTTCGGTGCGGCTAAACCTCTGCAGCTGTCGACGACACTCAAACTCTCGATACGCTGTCAAGAGGTAAGGCTAGCAAACGACAAACTTCAGACGTCAAGACGGTTTGAGTCAGGAGTAACGGGATACGATCTGATGAACGCGATCCTGTTTCCGGCGCCTGGAAGGGCTATCTCCGCGGTTGATCATCTTTGTATGTTCTCCAGCCAGCGGGGTTTGCGGGCCTGTGCTCGGTCAGACACCCCACCGATCGACAGGAGTAAACACGGGGTATCCGCTTCGGTACTCGCGGCGTTCCCGGGCGGGCTTCCGTACGGGCGTGTTGCATTACCGGTGGCTCACATGTAATTGAGCTCCCAGAGGCATGGGTAAAGTTCAAAGATCAGCGGATTTAGCGGTCAAAATGGGTGTGCAGACGTGGCATGGCCTTGGTATTTTAAGGGGAGCATGCCAACATAATGGTTCCAGAATAGGTACAAGCTTAGGCCCGCGAAATCCTCGTGTTGCAATATGCAGCTCCAAGCATACCGCGTATTCATCAATTTGCCTTTCTTGCTGAGCATAAATCTCAAGCACGGTGCACCTTCGTTGATGATAGATGGAAACCACTGCCGGTACTCAATTAGGTATGAAAAGCTTGGGTAATTAGACAAGATCAGAGACAATAGACATTGCCACTGTCCTTGTACTAGAATGAATAGCTAGGTCCGCCGTCAACAGGGTCAAGAGATACACTGCCCAAGTACATATCATTAAGAAACGCCCAACTCCAATCGTCTCCACCTTCCAAGAGCAAAGGGTCAACACCAGCGATATGTGATGGCGCCGAAGACAAAGGAGGAGACTGCATTTGCCCACTCATCCCAACTGTCCTTTCATCGTTTGGTGGTGGAATAATATGAATGTTTGCGCGGCCACCCACAGAAGATTGTTCTCCCGGCGGAGTTCGGAATGTTGTGCTTGTGGCATTGCGGCTGTTGTTCCGATGATGGCCCGGAACGAGCGATTCGACCCCACGGGCATCGGGTTGCGGGGGATGGCCCGTCGGCTCTGTTTCTCTGATAATGGAACTGTTACTGACAATTCTGTCGGATTTCACCACCCACTCCTCCAGCCCGCCTGTGTCGCCTCCCATCCGAATGCTTAGCCTCTCGCCCGATTGTTGAGACGTGGTGCGATGTCGGAGGTTGCGGTGGTAATCCTGGACCATGGAAGAGAAGTACTGATCTACTTCGTAAAATCTCGCGACGAACGCTGCTGCCACCCCCGAGTATCTGGCAAGTTCTGAAAGCGTGTCGAACATTACTTTTGTTGGGCCGAACGAAGCACTGATGGGTTGATTCTCGGCCATTTCGTCTGGCTCGCTCGATCGGCTACATAGATAGGCTTCTGTGTCCATGCGAGGGAAATGTTGTGCGTAGACTCCGGTGAACGAAGCAGTATAGATGACGAAGGCCACAAGAGGAGAATGTGGAAGGCGATCCTCGCACAGTTCAATCACGCTGGCGACTGTCTTGCTGGCCCCGAAAAGCTCCCGAGCGCTTTCTTCCCAAAACCCCGGAGGGACCTCCTCCGGTGGAAATGTAGGCTCATCCAAGGGACCAGATGGTCTGGTACATTTGATTGGAATGAAGGGTAGATATTGCCGGTGAAGCATTATCTTGCAAAGAGACATTAGAAGATGAAGTATGATGTATGTGCTGGATGTGCTCTCGTGGCGGAAGTAATTTGAAGGACTCAGGCTGAGAAAGGTACCTGGAGCTTCAAGAGTCTTACTAAAGGCGTCTGCCTCTCGACGTAGTTGGAAAAAAAGGGACTCGGGGTTCCAAGGTGGACATTGCTTGTCCAAGAACCGACCACCAGCACTGGAATACTGAGATATGCGACCCCATAGGTCGACTAGTTGGACAAATCGACCCAGGATGCTGGTTTCATCATGCAGTGACGAGTCCATGTCACCAGAGAACCATTCCGTGCTAATCTGACGGCTCAAGTCGAAGTCCTCTTTGGCGCAGGGTAATCGCACGTGAAGGTCATCTGATCGGATGAATGATGGTCGTTCTTTGCCACAAGAGATAAGTCGATCGAAGATGAAGCAGCTGAACATAGTCCTGCGTCTGATCTCGCGATCCACGATAGCGTCTTCAAGTGTTGCGTCGGCGTGGTGAGCTGAACTGTAATTGGCCTCGTATCCCAGCTTGAGTGCCTGCGCCATCCGTCCTGCTGAACCGACTAACATCCAAGCCCGGAGACCCTCGTGATTTGGCGAGATCCATTCATAGAGACCGAGCATAAGTAAGGCTTGTACACGCTCAACTGATCCGATGGAACACGCTGATACGAACGAGCCAAGAGACTTATCCAACGTTCTTGCAAAAGCTTCGGAAATACCTTGGTCCCCAAGACTGGGATCGTATGGGACTTCTTCAGAGCCGTTGTCGAAGTAATCGGCAAGCTCTCCATGATATCTCCCGGTTAAGGCCAGAAGACCGAGAAGGACTAGTTGGGTATCGAATGCTACCGACGCGTGGCCGGTAGTCAAGTCGTATATCCTGTTCTTGAGAGTCGGAACATGTAAGAATGAGAGCTCCGTGGCGAAATGACGCTGAAATGTGACCAGAGCCTTGTCCCATAGCGTCCTGTCAATACGACGGACGATGTCAATGTCATCGGAACGGAGAGCCCCATCCATCCGCGTGTGGGTCGCCCGTCTCGGCCTTTTCTGCCCGGAATGAGGTGTCGCAGTCTCCCGTGAATCCCGAGGTGCGGAAGGTGGATCGGGTCTCTTCAGTGGCGATGGGGCGGGCATCGGCCACACACATTCTTTCCGACCCTTGATGCAGTTCTCGCATGGCGCATCTAGACGGCCAGTGTTCTCGCACTTGATCTTGGAGCGTCTGCATCTTGCGCAAGCTATGCTGGACCGTATTCGCAACGGGCCCACCATCGTTCGGTCTGGTGCTTGGCGGGTGGTAGAATTGAGGATGCGGGACTCTCAGTCAGGAGCCGGAGAGTCTTCGAGATACTCACCGACAACCTGCGCTAAGCTCAGGAGTCGGTGAGGAACGAAACCGACGGAGTGGTTCAAGAGTCCGGTCGTGAGGGGTAACAAACAGATCCGGTGGTGTTGGCCCCCACTGACTCATTACTAAGGTAAGATAAGCCTCCAATCTTATCACCAGGTTGGTCCATGCCACTGAGGAGCGAGCATGGCTGAGCTTGACGCTTTTTGTTTTTGAGAAAGTCCAGCAATTTTCGATCTACAGAGTCCATGGGCGGTCGTTCGCCAAGACACAGGGTGAAGGGGTAGCCTTTGACTTTGAAAAACCAACAAGCTGCCGATGCAGATACTCTCATGGCTGAAGGGCAATATTGCATCCCATCCCCTGTTTTGACTGGTGGTTGCGCGGTCGTAGGACTTCTCGTTCTCCGCAGAGTTTTCTCGGTCAAAACACCGAGAAAACTCTTGTATCGATGCAGAATATACGAGGGAGAAACCGCACACATCAATGCGCTTGCTGCCTCGCACTGGCCTTTAAGAATAATTGAGCAGAAGCAGAAGAAAGAATCGTTGGCGAGTCGGCGAAGCACAAGATGCGCTAAGCCTACTTCAGTTAGCCGAGTCTTTCTCCAGCCAACAACTCAGGGGGGACCTCGTGGCAGTGAAGAACATTTACTGCGTTCGGATTGAGATCTCGGTAAGCCGAGAATTTCGGCATGCATAAATCGGAATGCCGAACATGGGTCCAACGAACTCAGTCAGTAATTACCACCATGGGATAACCACAATGAACCTATCCACAAAAGTCGATAGCGCCTGAAATCTGCTTCCAGAGTGGTCATCACCCGTGCGTCACTGAAAAGAGAATTGTGTTGAACTGTGCACATCTATCGACTCTGGTACCGGACACGAACGCACTTGATTGGTGGAAGAGTTGGCGACTTGAGTTTTGTCCCTTCCATCATTCTTCCCCAGGTAGGAGTCCGTATTTACCACCTGTGCCAATTCCTCTCTCTCAAGCTGTCTGTATGATAACCGTTGACGTCGATGAAGTTTGCCCAATCAGCAGCCAATCGGCAGCCAAATTTTGTGCTGCAATCTTGTCAGTCAAGTTGGCTTTTCGGGACGGGTACGATCGCCAAACCTATTGTGCAACACTTTGCAGAAAGAGATGTTGGCCAATCAACAACCAAAAACTTTGCGGATGCGCTTACCAAGACCATTCTTCTCGGTCTCGGGTACAGTATACGTGGAAGGAGACAGCAGGATATAATCATCGTCGTCGTCCTCCTCCTCGAGGTAATCAAAAGGACGGCGACCTCCGGAGTCAGTCGCCCATCGACGTCCATACCTAGAGCTGAGAATGTCGAATCCGTGGCGCTCGTCTTTGACCATGCCTCCGTTTCTATTGACAACGGCATGCTTGAACGAGTCCATCACCTTCTAGATGGCGGACAGAGGCATGGTAGCCCAGGTGGCGAGTTGCGTTACGGCGACAATGACAGTTCCCCCACAGCCGGGATTGGGATGGTCCGAGTCCGCGACGGTATAAGTATCATTGTCGGGTGGAAGGTGTACAATCCTGCGCACATCCGTTCGTTAGCAAGAGGAATGAGACGATTGCGATGGCAGGTCTGAGAGTAAGAAATACTTCAGGTGAGGCGCGACCCGTATTCCAGGCATGGGCGGGAGCATTTTGAACTCATCATCGTCATCCTCGAGCAACGAATAGCTCGAAGACTGGGAGCCAGCGGATTCCATCGCGGCTGCCTTAGATTGGGTGGTTGAAGGTGAGGGACTCGGGTAAGTTGGATGTGTTGCTGGAGAAGGAAGCTGGGAAAAGAATTCGGAGGATGAGACCGAGGCAAGAGATGAGGTCAGCATTGGCGCCTCCCATGTGCCTGCCTATTTGACCGCTTCATGAGGAAAGCAGTACCTTCTAAATCGGACTGCTGGCTCGATGTTGAAAAGGCTCAGCGCTCAACAATCGATCACGCGTAAAAGTTCTTCACTCCACTAGCATTTTTATGGGGTTTATTGTGCGAGTCTATAGTGACAACGGCTTGAGTGAAGCAGAGTGTCGCGAGGATAAGTCTGGCCATATACAACGCACAAGCGGCAGCAACTCTTGTAAAGAAGACCAGATTTGAATTATACAGTGGTCTTTGTGATATTGAGAGTAAGAAAATCAAGCGAAACTGAAAGGATATGACATAGTAAATGATCCATTGTCAGAGCCTGATTGCCAAAGGAGACAATGCTTGCCACACTTCTTAGAAACCCTTCAAATCTACTGTGCGGCTTCTTCATCGAATGAATAAGGAAGACGAATTGCGTTTCAAAGAAAATTGTTGCAGAAGTAGTAAAATCCATGATCAACATTATGCTACAGTGACCCCTCAGGCCACTTGTACTTGGGCCAGGGGAATTGAGGATTCCATGTGTGCTGAAGAATGATGCTACCATCAGGAAAGGTCTTCTTGCTGCCGTCTGGTAATTTGACCGAGCGGGCAGGGGAGGGTATGGTCCAGCGTGCAACAATCCCGTTTTCCTCCGCCAGATTTTCATACAATTTTGCAACCTTCTCAGGGCGTGGTCTGAAATTGTCGAGGTGATTGGGATCCGTAGACTCTTCAAATTCACCAGGTTCTGCTGTAAACCATAACTGCTGATGGCTTTGCTGTTCTTCCATGTCCATCCCGCCACAGTTGCTGATGTTACTTTGCTCGTAGTCTTCTGTAAGTGGCATCTCCACTCCACAATTATCTAAGTCCTCCATGATGTCTATGTTGGCAATTTCGTAGTTGACCCAAGTAAGTGGCAGGCATTCTGCTTTAACGAGTATCTTGACGAGGACGTTGACGCTTTCGGCCTCGTCGGAGTCGACTTGGTCTTGCGTCGCAAATGAGTCAACATACCATACTGCAACATCGGAGGCGGCATGATTGTCAATGATGACGAATCCATCTGTTCGACCAGCCGCGTCTTCAGCACGCCGTATCTCGGCATGTGACTTGTTGTGGTATGAAAGATCATCTTTGATCACCATCTCGAGGATGGGGCTGAATCTCGAGCATGCACCTAACTCGAATGCCTTCTTGAGCTTTGCCAGTGCATCTTCGGGCAGGCTGGTCGTGACGTAAGCATTGAGCTTGGGGACGTTCGTTGGCGGCGAGATATAAACCATGGTTGAACTTGGAAGTAGAATGATGCTGGGATGGACGATACGAGGAGAGGGCGTCGTAATCGGAGGTGGCTAATGGTCTCTTATATCTTGGCAGCGCAAGCGGTTCAGATGGTTTTGACTTTGGAAGGATTCAGAGCTAGTGGGCCGTGATGCCGTAGGATGAGAGTTCAGTGCCTAAGTGTTACGTCACAAAGGATCGACATGGGCCTGCCCAATCTGAAAAAGGGCGGCTTCATGAGACACTCTGTCTTATTCAGCACCCCAGGTAATGTCTGGCGGCCTGCTGCCTGCAGAAAAGCGCTAATTAAAGGGAGGCGTTCCTGAAAAATGCCCACCTGCCTAGGTTTCATCCGGTTAGTAATGAGAGCTATGTATCGTTTGAACTGGTAATACAAACCCCGCATATCAATGATTGAGTGTTCACTTGTGATTCGACTTCCCCAGCAGCTGTATGGGTGTCAGGAAGACTCGAAGGAACGTCGATGGTATGTCGTGATCGATACTGGCCTTGAATTGCGAATGCATCTGTATCCAGCGATCTCATTCTCGCAAGCTTCGAACTCTCTCTTATGCTTAGTCACAAATCTATATGGGCCAAAAATGGATATTGAAGATAAGGGAGATGAAGTAGTAACCCTCATCCTGGTATTCCAACCTGGCGTTTGAAGTCTTCAAGCCACTCCATGTTATCGGCTGCAGTTTGGTTCCAAGGGTCGTCACTGGCGCAGCTTAATAGGCTTTCTGTGTCAAATGAAGGGGGAACTTACTCGTCAAACAGCAGGAAACGAGCCTGATGACGAATTTCTTCGTCTGATGGGACATGATGGGTGGGGTTGTTTGGGGACATCGTCGATGCCGCCCATCGCTTGAGCTCCATAGATAACCATCGGTGTGAGTTGCAGTCGTTTAGTACGAAGGCTCCCGACTTAAGCCAATCGGGTCTGCGGAGACTTCCTGATGCTTTATGAGCAGTTTCAGGCAACTTTTGGTATTGGCGAGAAGGGGCATCTGCTAGTTGGAGTTCGGATGCCGTTGCCTTTCCCGAATTCTCCTTTTCTAGCACATGAGGGTACTGGATGTCGTCCATCTCAAAGAGAAACGCATCAGATCTAGATATGGGGCGCAAAAACAACCCTTCTTCACGAATGCCTGGTTGCAGACCCAGCGTGTCATTCTCGGTCATAGCAAAGTTAGACCTGGAAGCGTGAACCATGCTCAGATCCAGTGGCCCCAAAAGATCATCTGTGAGTTTGCTGGAATCTGCCCTGCCTGGTAATTTCTGCTCAGTGTTGGACAGGAGGCGGGTGCGCTTCTTGAACCCATAGAGCCATGTTGTAGAGCTGGTAATCAACTTGGTCAGCCAATTGGCGACAAAGTCAGGAGATCCAGCTGTGATTCCCTCCTCCATGCGTGAAATAATTCTACAGGCCTCTGCTTGAAGATCATTGTCCATTGGGACTATAGACTGAGATGCCCAGAGGGTGTGAACGTAATCTCTCAGCTGAAGCTCCAGCGGACACGAATCAAACAATGTCCTTTTCCCATTGATCCGGAGGACTGAAAGTCTACTCTCCGCCTGTGATCTTATGGATCCAAATTTCGCCTTTGTTGTGATGTCTTCATTTGATTCGATGAGATCTCGTAGCCAGGATGAGGTGTCTGTCCCTTCAAGGCTAGGCGAGGTGCACAGAACCTCCGATGCAAATATGACACGGCAAGCTTCCAGTTGAATTTCGGAATTCTTGGGTACCTGTCCGTATTCATCCATGTGTCTTTGCATGAAGTACTCCAACTCCAAGGTCAACAATTCGTACGCACTGCGTGGTGAATTAGGAGGGACTAAGGTGGCATTGAATGGGAATGGCGTGTGACGCTCGTGATCAATGATATCTTTTGGCTCGGTTAGACATGTACCAGAGGTTACTTTGAGATCCCGAGACTCACACGGAGGCATAAAGTGTTCAACAGTCTCCATCACCGATGGTTCAAAACCCCAATCACCAGTCCAGGATGCCATTGTTTTCCCCGACTTGAAGTGGTCCGCTAGATGATCAACGCGATCTTCCCAGGTCGGAAGCAACTGCTCGCAAAAGCCGCAACGCGAGCGAATCTCCGGGGTATCAGTCTTCCAACCTTCTATGACCCAACCAACGCCTGGTGCATCGTGGACAAGGCGTAAATGCTGTTTCAGATGGTCCTTACGGTTAAAGACTCTCCCGTGACAGGCCGTGTAGTTGTGAAGGTTGAGATGTGCCTGATCTGGATTGGCTCTCTCGCAGAAAACGCAAGCCTGAGCACCAGTGCTGGGATTGACGCTTGTCGGGCCGTTGGGAGCACAAGCCCATCTATCCAGCGGTATATGGAGCGACTTCTCGTGTCTCTTCCATTCATACTTGGCTCGAAACGTTTCCGTACAAAATGTGCACTGGAAAGGGCCTCGGTTTTGCACAAGAGGCGTGCTGTGTCCTCCTTTACGCGTTCTGGGTCGTCCTCGTTTCTTGAAAGAGGGCGGCAAACTTACAGATTTAAGTGAACCTCGAGAACTTGCAGATGCCTTGGAGCCCTCTCTGGAAGATACGACACTACTTGCTGAACTTTCGTCCATGAAATATGATGGATCTGATCTAGCCTTTGGAAAGATTGCATTGATTGGGTGACCTAAAAACGTTTCAGCCATGTTTACTGCGTAGGATGAATGCCCTACTCTACGTAGGGCGGTTGTAACGGAACTCACTTGAGGCTGACGGATTACCAGAGGCTATCGCGCGAGCGATGTCATCAACTGCTGCGGGCTCATCCTCGGGAGGCGAGTCAACCCATCTCTCCATAGGATCCATGTCAAGATAATGGCTCTCCATGCGTGTCCGATTCGGAATTGGAGTTCCTGGACGCCTTGGTACATGGGCGCCTGACTCATCTGACCAGGGAGAACGTGCAGGAGTAGTGTTTGCGAGTGACTTCTGGCGTCTTCGGGCATTGGCAAGCCAGTTTGATATCTGAGTTTTGGAAAGTCCAGTCGACAGCTGAAGACTCTGCCTATCAGCTTGACTAGGATACGGGTAGTGACTGTGGGTATTAAGCCACTGTTTCAGAAGACGAGCGGTGTCTCTGGAAAATCGCGTTCCTATCTTGGGTGGAACGGCACTGTTGGATGGCGCAGCCATATCCGAAATGGAGCTTGTGCTTCTAACAGATCCTGGTATTGTTGCGCGCCGTGTCAAAGAAATTGATTGTTGTGAGGATAGTGTGATCGCAACTTGGTCATCAAAGTTTCGAGAGATTTGAGCGGCCTCTGGCTACACAGTATGAGTCAGTGGAGATGCGCAAGAAGTGGAGGACTTACTTGGACCGGATGACTAGGTGTTTGTTGCTGGCCGAGATCCATTTCGAGGAGGTCGAAACTTTCGATAGGAAACATTAAATTCGGCGAATCAGTTGACGCATAAGAAAAGTCGGGCTCATCGGCAACCGTTGAGACTGGACAAGCAGGGCAATGGTGATTGTCGCTTGTCGCATCGCGAGTATCGGCCTGCGGAGGACACTGAGACTGTGACCAGGGTTGCTCCCCGCGTGGTGTAGGTGGCTCATTCCCGTTAGCTGCCATTGTGTAGCCTAAGGGTAAAATTGGTTCAGATATCTCCCTCGCGAATACAGGGCCCCAACTGAGAAATTGATACTCTGTAATATGATAAGAAAGTCATGTCCGGAGAAGAACGGAGTCGAAAGCTTGTTCGACGCTTGCGCCAGTCTAGTGACCTGTGACTAAGGCAATGCATGAACTCGTCAATCGCGCCTTTTTGGCGACATGTACACGCCAGGACAGTTTCTGATTGGCTCAGTCTCGCCGCATTGGAAGTATGTCGGCCAAAAAAAAGTTGAAGTATTTTTCAATCTTTAGCTACAAAATATAGGAACTCATCATACTAAACGGATGAAATTAAGGAGATACCGGACGCATGAGATCTTTTCAAACTCCGGACTCTTACATAGCCTGCGCCAATTGCTCTCTTGCGAGTTTTGAAGACGAACCCCGGTTTCGGATCTGGGCGCAATTGACAGTGTTTGGTGGGTCCTCAACATTGGATGGAGGTTGGGCCAAGCATCTTGTCAGGAGAGTCATCGTCACGGCCAACTGAGGAGTGCTTCTTCGCTGAGATTTTTTTTGAGTGTTAATTAGCACTCCATGTACCCGATTGCTTCGAAGTCGGCTTGAATGGACGTGCAGATTGTGTCTACCACGGCGTCCTCTTCGACCTCGGGAACACCCAATGCACCAGTAGGCCAGGTCACTGTGTACACCAAAGGCCCTTGCTTCACGCTAGATATGTTAAAGCATATCGGGGCACTCGACACATGACCCGGCTGCGAAAAGACAACGTGCGTGATTGTAGCTTTCTTCTCGCCGTCGCGAGTCGCACCTTCGAAGGCGCCGACGTTGCTCACTTCGTAGGAGCAATCGCGGCGCTGGCCGAGTTTAGACAGCAGCCACTTCCTGACACTGGGCAGATACCTGAGAAGACCGATAGGTTGGTCTTGTAAGGTGGCTGCGGTCTCGGCGAAAGCCTTGGTGCTCGAACTGGCTGCCAACCATTCCGCATCGGAAAGTGGACCAGCCGAGGTCAGTTTCGGGTGAACCAAGTATGTGGCCGAAACAAATTCTCCCATCTCGTCGCTGGGGACTCCTACAGACTTGCGCATATTGACGGCCGTCTGGGACACAAAGTTGGTGACATTGACTTCGCCGAAAGCTTTGCTCATCCCTCGGGCAATGAACTGGTGTAGTAATCCCATCAATTTGGCGTCATGTGTTTTCGCCTGGCAGAGTGCTCTGTCCACCAGGTAGGATTCAACGACCCTCAGAGCAATCTTGGTCCTGGACTTGTCGCCGTTGAAAGCCGCTGGAGACCCAGTCCAGGTGCCTTCATCTAGAGTAGAGGCCTGTGCTTGGAGGCCCAACAAGTCTGATATGAACTTAGGGAAGAACACAGCAACCAAAGGGCCCAAGAGAAATGACCAAGATATCGGAAGGCGTTGAGGCGTGTCAAAAGGGAGCCCAAGAGCAACTTGTGATGGCTTGACAGTCGACGGGGCATCGGAGGCTAAGTCTGGAGACCTGATCGCTTCGAGTAGAGATCGATGTAGAGAAATTCCTGAAAGTCCATCGCCAATCATGTGTGACCAAGCAAACGCGATGAAAGTCTCCGAATTGGAGAGAGGCAACATGATGATTCTCCAAGGAGGGATGGCGTGATTGAACGGACGGTCTAGGTTGGAGCGCTGCAATTCCTCTATTGCGTTCCACCGTTCGAGCTTCATTGAGACGGGCATTTCTTTGAATTCGATGTGGTCATTCAGGTTGACCATGTGTACTCGCTGGTAGAAGGATTTATCGGTGTGCTTGTCTCCCACAGTGACGCCCAGAAATGGATGCTGTTCGATACACCGTGCCAGGGGCCCGAATAGCGATTGGGATGACCTGATAGCAGGCCCGTTGCCACGCTCGTAGATGGCGCCTATAATGACTGCATGGTAGAACCCAAGGTCCTCTCTGCTGATCGTCCGCTGTTCGTTTGGGCCTTTCATTGGCGCATGAGCTGATATGATCTTTGATTCCTTGCTGTGATGCTAAACTGCAGAGAGTACTTACTCGCATTTCTCAGGAACACTCCGTCGACCTCCATTATGTCGAATCTGTCGATTGACCCGCAGTTACAACCTTCCAATAAAGTTGAGTGTGTGCATAGAAAAATCGAACAATTGGTCTGATTTATTTCCAATGCCCCTTTGCTGACTTTTGTACGCATCAGGTTAGACAGATGTCCCGGACAGTAGGAGGAGGTTGGGAGGCCACCAACAGCTCCACTATCGACGGATCGATTAGGCAGCAAGAAGTGCGACATTTCAGCTGCACAAGCATCAATTCCGATCAACCAGGGTCAAAGATTCTAGGAACGATACATGGCTGGTCAGCCTTCTGGGTTGTTGACCAGCCATTCAATTCCCTGAAAGAAGAAACAGTAGGTGCAATCTTCAGAAATCCTAACGTGCGAACAGCATATTGCTAGATTTGATGATTCCAGTCTTTGAACCTTGACGAACGAGTTCGTCAGACGTTGTCCGAACAAATGACGTTCCCATGGTGATAAACGTAGTGCAGCATACGTGCTAGACGGATCTTTTTCGCATGGTCGACCTGCAGCATGTCAATGAGCTTTGGAATGAACAACTTGTAATCTGAATAAAAGTCATTGCCTCAACCAGTGCGGGTGATTTTAAAGGCAGGCCTTCGGTAGATCATGGGAACTTCCAAGTCTTCTCAAACAGCAAATAACGTGTTGTCTTCCGGAGTCTCTGCCATAGATAAATCAGAGTGCGGAGCAGTCTGGTCGACGAAAGCAGCGAATCGAAAACTTCTTCAATTCGTAGACCCATCGCGAAACGTCATATGGGAGTACCCTCGTCATTAGCTGGCCAAGAACTCTCAGTTCACTCTTAGGCAAGGGTGTCGCTCGGCAAGCTAACAGTTGATGACTGGAGCCATCTCTTTATACTTTTCGTCGGTCTTGGTAACTGTGGCATAGATATCTCCATTTTGAAAATGTAAGCAGGTTGCCGCATTTGTGACTCCATATCTTCCCACTTGTCTCGGTTGAAAGCCGACAACGGGCTCCCTGGTATCGGGCCAAAGCCGACTGATGATATTCCGTGACCAAGGATCGAAACAAGATAGGGGTGTGACCCAGATATGCACCTTGCCAAGATTGCGAGCTTCCGCCGTCCAATCCATGCGTTCGCGGAGAAGTAATGGGGACTCAAGCACCTCTGGGGAAGCTCAATGGTCCCGGGGTCCCCAGAAATTTCCTAGGACTTTGTGGATATGTCCCATACATCGGACGAGGCCCCATCCGCTCATAGACATTGGTTGCGAACGTATGGCAGATGCATCCAGTCACACGACAGGCGGACTCGCGGCAAAGTCTACTTCATTGGGGCCGCAGCAATTGTATTTCCATGGTACCATGCCCCAAGGACGTGTTACTCGGAGGAATCCCTCATCATTAGCGTCTCTCAGACGAGTCATGGAATGATGCCATTATGAATAGCGCCCTTCGCCAATGCGTTCAGTGTCCAAAGTGTGGCTCATGCATGCCGGAAACAACATGGATAACTTTTCTCAACCGATACCTATATTTTCAAGTCGCCACGTGTGTGCCTAGCACACTTCATAGCCTGCAAGTGGAGTTGCTGAGGATTGATTTTACGGGAAACTGGAGATCGGACTGACAGCACCAGAGCGAAAAGCATTAATACCGCCCTCTGTTCCTCCAATTGGTCTCTCCTCACATCCCTTTTATTCTGTCTTGCTACCGGTACTACTTTTCTGGCCAAGTCGATGTTCAGGTCAACAACAGTTCTGCGAAGATGCCTATAATCGACAGGAAGGTCTACGAACAAACCCCCAAAGAGGTGATCTCTTGGAAGATTGTGGCATATTGCACAACACTTTCCTTCACCGGGGCTCTCCATGGTCCGTACGATGGATCTCGTCGTCTCGTCAGAGAACTTACTGACGTAATCTTCGTTCTAGGATTCAATACTGCGAATATTTCCGGTGTGCTCGCCATGAAGCCGTTCAAATCACACTTCGACTTCCAAGATATGAACACCTCCGATCTCGCCAACTGGAATGGATGGATAACCTCTGTGCTAATTCTCGGATCGTGTCTCGGGTCGTTGACTTGCGCCCCATTCATCGAGAGACTCGGACGTCGATTCTCCCTGGTTATCTTTACAATCCTGTTCGTGGCCTCAGCAGTTCTCATGACTGCGAATCCTGGTGGATCCGGCGGACGGATTGAGTTCATTGTCGGGAGGGCTCTGTCAGGCTATGGGTCCGGTGCCGCCAGTGTCGTCGGCCCCGGGTACATTGCAGAGATCGCTCCTCAGAGCATTCGTGGTGGCTTGACTGCATTATACAACGCCAACACCATGCTGTCAGTTGGTCTTGCATACTGGATCAACTTTGGCTCCTTGCAACACATCAGCAGTACGCAAAATGCTCAGTGGCAGATGCCTATGGCTGTTCAAGCCCTTCCCGGAGTCATCCTTCTGATTGGCCTCCTTTTCATGCCCGAGTCTCCAAGGTGGCTCCTGAATCATGGAAATGTCGAAAAGGCGCAAAGCGTACTCGAAACTCTCAGATCTCTTCCCCGCGACCACCCCTTTGTGCGCCAAGAATTTGATCAGATCCAACGGGGACTGGAAGATCAACCAGTTGCGCCGGGCCTCAAGGGTCTTTTCCAGGAAATATGTTCCGACAACATCCGAAAACGCCTCTTCATGGTTATGTTTATCCAAGTTGGTTTTCAATTCAGTGGCGGGTAAGCCCCCTTAGTCGAGGGAGCCTTTGTGAAACAAGCACCTAAAACTCACCAGAAACATTATTACCTACTACAACACATCGATTCTGTCATCTATCGGGCTTACGGCGCCTTCCATCAACTATCTCTTCTCGGGAATCTACGGACTCGTCAAGTTCATCGCAGTGCTTCTTTACTGCCTGTTCTTCATCGACCGTTTCGGACGGCGTATGGGACTTTTCATTGGTTCCGGTCTCATCATTGGGTCCCTGACGTACATCACCGTCTATCTGGCTGTTGCTGACCCATCAGGAGCCAATGGTACTGGCCCGGCTGGATGGGTAGCAGTCGTATGCATCTACATCTTTGCCCTTGGGTATGCGATCAGTTGGGGAACTATTCCGTGGATCATCAACGCCGAAGTCTTCCCCACGAAGGTCCGTGGTAGTTGCATGGCAATTTGCATTACCTGGCAATATCTCGTCAACTTCGCGCTCTCGCGCGCGCAGCCTAACATGGTGATTGCCATGCACTCATGGGGCCCGTTCCTTCTGTTCACCTTATTCACCACCATTTCCACGACATACTGCTATTTTGCATACCCAGAGACGAAGGGAATGTCTATGGAGAAAATGGATCAACTTTTCCAGATGCCCTGGTACAAGGTCGGAAAGTCAAGTCTTGCCATTGTCAACTCTCAGAATGCCCAGTCCGGCGGGTCGGATGAAGAGAAGGTAATGGTTGTAACGGCGGAAGATGCACACGAGCATGAGGACAGCGTGAAGCAAACACGAAAGGAGTAACGATCATAAACAGCCTGGTTAGATCTAGATCATACATGTACAATAGATAATGCGCTCCTGCAGCTGCTGTATCGATACGGCCATAAGGCTTTCCCATAGTCCATTACTGAACCACCCACATCTTCCTTTGAACTTCAGCCTCGTCCCATTGCATAGGTATTCTCATTGATGAGAGATACAAAGTCTCCGGATTGTTTTTCGTAGTCATGGTTTAGGAGAGCCATTGAATGGATCCAATTGGCTAGGCACTCGTCTAGGTTCCTATTTGATCGGGCGAAAGCCGATGGCCACCCACCGGTTAATTTTCGAGGCAGTTTAACAACTCGGCTTTAATCCGACGACGAGTCAACAATACTGATGCACAGTCATTTCATAAGCAGAACCTTCGCTCCATAGTCAGCAGGCATCTAATTGTACTTCATCAATTGAATCAAATACAGGAGACAATCACGACCGGCTGCTATGACTACAGTCCTCATTATTAGCTGTGTGATATCAGGCGTTCAAATCATAAAGTCAGTGGCATTGCCTTGAAGCTATTCTGAATGTTAAATTTTCTTTGGTTGATGAAACGCAGCTTGGATATAAGCCTGAAGCTGGGTTGAGGTATATTTACACTCCGTTGTGTTAACAGCGTCCGCCCCCCTTTTTTTTCCCCGCTTATATAAAAACATAAAAAAAAGCCAATTTTACGCTATAATATATATTTCTCTATATTATACGTAAAACGTATTAAAGTTATTACTAATACCTTAATTACTATTAATTACTATAATCCTAATAGTATTTAAATATATAACTATATAATAGAGATATAAAGTATATATTTTATACTTTTATAGTAGTTAATTTACTTATTAAGGTATTACTAACTTAGCTAATTACTTTATTTCTATACTATTTAACTAATAAAAGGTCTATTTTTATTATAAGAGATTAAGATAATATTTATTAAAGAATAGAAAAAGAGACCTACTATATAACTTTATATATTTACTTAGTATATAGTTTATATAGCTTTAAGTAATATATAAATATACTAAGGAGCTTAATATAGTTTTTTAGAGTAAATACTTTAATAGTTAATAAGATTAATAAATCTCCTAATAGCTTAACTTATTTATAATATTAAGTAAGAGTTTACTACTATATAGATTATACTTTATTACTTATAATTTACTACTAGTTAGTATATATCTATAGTTTATTATATTAGATATATTAAGAAAGATATTAAGTAATAATAATAATATAATAATACTTAGAATATTAAATTTATAGCTATTAATAATTATAATAATACTACTATTTAAAAACTAAAAGACCTATAAACTAATAAGTATTATTAGTTATACTAAATAAATAATTTAATAATATAGATTATAATATAATATTACTAATAAAATATAAAGATATAAGAGGTACTACTAAAGTTAATAAAAAATAGAAATATAATATTATATAGAGCTTCTTAAACTATTATAATACTATAGTAATCTATTTCTTAAAGAGATATAA